CGGACCAATAGTTATCTCGCATTTGTTCGTTTCATTTCACTCTGGTCCCGGTGATCGACCCAGACTGGATCTTTCAACATTATCCCTGGACACACATATTTGCCTTCATTCGTTTGTTCATTTCTACTTAACATGACTAGCTATAAACAGGGTGAGGTTGAATTGCATCCAAAGGCAACTTTTGTGAGTCTCTGGGCACTGCCTCTTGAGTTGTTCCTGTAATTTATCCCTTTTCCCTACCTATTTATTATAAATTCTTAATTGCAAACAGGTATTCCAACTTTCATGGATGAAACTGAACTGACCCCAAATTAATTATTAACTAGAAACTGAAATATAAAAATCTCGCTGAATCCAGTCAAACTCCTTCACTATTAAACATTTAGTTAGTAAACTAAAGATTGTTGTGAAACAATACTTCCTGAGAGCGTTCAAACCATCCTTAAATGCAACACATTGCGGAACTGAAAGGGCAGTTTGCTATAAGCCTGATTCCAGATTGATTCCAGCTCTGTTAGTGATAAAAAATGATTAGTTAAATTCATTGCTCTTATAGGAATTTTTGTATGTGGCACTTATAGTGTGTAACTACTTAGGGTGGTATTCCTGGAAGATTTCTATAGAATGAATGACTATTTTCTAGGCCCCTTCTTCTACCACTTTAAAATCTGTGGTGTTAATTCTAATCCACTTTATCTACCCAGAGAAGGTATATTTCACCCAGCACAGGAATAAAAGAACCTCAGTAAAGGAACTTTGGTTCACAAGAAAAAAGCCTTTGAATTGCTATGATTGGCACAACAAGTCAGGAAGGCTGACCATAAAATTTTGCACAGCAAGGAAAGGCAATGCAGGAGAGCAGAGCTAAGATAGGTGCCGATTCTTGGTAATATAATTTAATATAATTTAAATTAATATAATTTAAAATAAGCTCCCGAAACTATCTAACTGGCTAATATTGGAAGGGAGTTGGGAAGATGCTGAACTAGACTACATTGGACTTGGATAGACTTTGGCCTAATCCAGACACAGTTCTTATATAAACTTAAGCAATCTTTCAAAGCAGGCAAGCCTACATTTGCTGCAATGTTGGAATTGTTACATGCTGCAGAGTGGCATGGCACATACACTATAGACATTTTATATTACAAACTGGCACACAGAGAATTATCAATAATCTATTTTTATCCCCTCTTCCTAAAAATTAATGTTAAAAAGAAAAACCCACCGATATCTGTACTTTTCATTATTTTAAAAAGTATGGACTGTTGGTTTGATCTCCAGGCTTGGTAATTAGGTTGCAAACTTTTCGTCTCCATTCGGGGGGGACATCTTCAGTGCGGTTTGAATTGTGTTTGGTTTGTTTGGCATGTTGCTTCCAGTATTTCAGTTGAAGTAGCTCTCCCGGTCTCAGTGGTTGGTAGGCAGAGTCGATGTCAATGTGTCTGTTCACTGATTGGGTTGGTGGAGAACCAGGCCTCAAGGAATTCTCTTTCTCTCCCTGACTTTGCTGGGGTTATGGTCCCAGTTAGATCGAACTTGTGTCCTTCTGAGTCCTCACGGACAGACATGAGGGACAATGGGGCGTGTCTTTTGATAGCCAGGGAGTGCTCCTGCAGTCTGGTAGAAGGCTTTTTTCCTGTTTGGCCCACATAGTTCTTTTCACATTTGTTGCACTGGTCTTGGTATATGACACCTGATCTTTGGTTTGTTTCTGTTGGCTCTTTAGGTTTTGATAGGGTCCTTCTGAGAGTTGAGGCTGGTTTGTGGGCTATTGTGAGGTTATTTTGGTGTAGTAGTCTTGCTGTCATCTCTGAAATGTTCTGTATGTAAGGAATTGTGATTCGTTTGATCGTTGTTGTTCTTGCTGTAGTTGTTGTGTTGTTTTGGGTGTTTGTGTTGTTTGTGTGTAGGGATCTCCAGATGAAGCCTCGTGGATATCCGTTTCTCTCAAAGACTCTGCTTAAGTGTCTCAGTTCTGCTGATCTGGCTTCTGTGGTGTTGCAATGGGATTCTACTCTTCTGAAAAGTGTTTTGACACAGCTTTGTTTATGGCTTGGGGTGGTTGTGGTGGAAGTTGAGGATTTGGTCTGTGTGTGTTGTCTTTCTGTATATGGATGTTAGAAGTTGGCCATTGGTAGTTCTGGTTACAAGGACGTCCAGGAATGGCAGTTCATTGTTGTTCTCGATTTCTATCGTGAATTGGCTGTCTGTGAAGATGATGTTGATTTTTTGATAGGTTTGGTCATTTAAAAAGTATGTCTTATGTTTATATCCTGCCTGTCTTATGCAAGCATAGTGGCTCCCCCTCATTTCATCCTATAGCAACTCTCCAGGGAAGTTAGCAGAAGGAATTACTGCTTCAAAATTATTTGGTGAGATCCTTAGTCGAGTGCAAATTAAAATCCGAGTCTGCTTGGACCCAGTCTGGCCCCTTCACAGCTTCCAATTAACTTTCTTTACTGAAAGAACATAACAATGATAAGCTTTATTGGATGAAAAGTTCTATCAATGTGATATATCCCAGCGAAGAATTAATTGGCTTTACGTTTGGTTATTAAGAAATGTAACACATTTTTTAAGTCCCCAAATGTTAAAGCCATTTGGGGGGAATCTGATTGCGAAAGATGCACCTATTTTTATGTAAAATATGTATTTCCATTCTGAATAGCATAAACATCAGCAAATCAATACAAAGGTACCATCTTCTTACTCCAGATCGAGTTAAGCGTCATAACAGAATGTTAGCTGAATGCGTATTCACTCGTTAGGGGTTCCCTTTTTGTGGTTTTTTTTTAGCAAGTTGCATGGTTAAGGTGTTATTTCTCAGTTCACTTTGAATTATATTTCATCATTCACAGTTTGATCCTGGCTCCATAGAACAACATTTTGTCCAATTATATGAGAGGTTTATGCTGAGTGAAAGCAGGCCCTGCTGTAAGGCAAAATGAGCTTTAGACAGCCAATGCTTGTGTACAGCAGTCCCCCAAGTAGAAGTGGGCCTTCTCCTCAACCCTGGATCTGCTATGCTAGTCTGTTGACTTCAAGAACAATGGAAGATGCTCTCCCACTGCCAGTATTAATAAGAGGCTTTGACCAGTGGTGGGATTCAGCCAGTTCACACTATTTCAGCAGAACCGGTAGCTAATTTTTTGTTGCCCAGGCCCAGAATTGACTTCCGGAAGCGGCATCCGCACAGAGAACCAGTTGTTCACATATTTGAATCCCACTTCCACTCATGGAAGGAACATCATCTTGGGTTGTCGGTTCTTTTTTTTTTTCTTTTTTTTTTTTTACTTCAGGAAGGTCTTTGCTTCACTCTGTCTTATAGCATATCACAACACAGATGTGTGAAAGAGTGTTTTCTTCCTCTTTTGGGAATAGAGTAAAGGATGTCATTAAGTCTGATGTCAGCTCTCTTGCCATTAAATGAATTTGTTGGATCAACTATTTTCTTTTTCCCTTTCAAGGCGAGAATAGAAGATGGCCAACCCTGATAACACCGTCATAAATACCAGCATTAATCAGGTGAAGTATTAATTACAACATGCACTATTTCAAAGGCTTCTGCGGCTGTCTGTTTCTTGCATGGGGTAGGTTTTGCTGTTCTGCTTCTGCTAATCCCGAAGGAAGCTCTTTCCTTTTGCCTAATATCGGACCAGCAGCAAGCCTGAGTCTCCAAAACAATATTATTTGGTCCCAAGCTCCTTGTTTCTTGCCTTGATAGCACCACCCTTTAAAAGCAGAGGGATTTACTTGACAATGGTCACATAAGATGCTAACTTACTGTATGCTTAATAAAATGTGGTTTGTAGAATGAACTCAATTATTCTAGGCTTGAGCAATCACAGTTCACTTCACTGAAGTCACATGATTTGTCAGTGCACTTTGTGTGACTTTGCAACCGGGTTTGGCACTTTGGATACTGGAAGTAAGTGCAAAGCAGGGCCCATATACCCAGTTATTCTGCCTTTAGAACTAAGAAGACTGCATGGTTATAGGAAGCACCTTCTAAGAAATGTTTTGCACAAATCTTCAACCAAATTTTCTTTTGGAAATTTTGCATAGCTACTGGATTCACAAGAATTATAAACTAACTCCTTCATGTTAAGTTCATAAGTCCTCATAAATGGCATTGTATAATTAAAGGGACTTGGAACACATCACACTGGTAAAACTTACCAGATGAGCAAAATTATTGGAAATAGGTAATCTATCAAACAATTAGATCCTATGCCATTAAGGACTTTATTAGTAATAACCAAAATCTTGAATTTTAACCAGCAATTAGCATACACATAACTGATTTCTGGATCGGTATTCTGGATAATTTTTGGATAGCCTTCAACAGCAGCCTCATGTAGAGCACATTGCAGTACTGTAGTTCATTGATGAGATGACTTAGGGCACAAGTGTCCATCTGAAGGTTTCCTTGATCCAAGAACATGTCCAACTAGTACACTAGACAAATCTGAATCCCCCTCACTAGTCTCAAATGGGAAATGTTTCTCCTTATTGGAGGCAGCTCAGGTTTTTGAAGGCTATCTTTGGTGTGACTCAAAAAGTTCCCAGTGCTGTCCTTTGCTTGGAAATAGAATCTATTTCAGCAGAAAGGCGAGTCTGGTTAAGAAAGAGCACTTATTGGCTTAAACTGACATTCTGCTATGAAGGCTGATCTCCCCTGATTCTTCTAGATCAGTGGTTCTCAACCTGTGGGTCGGGACCCCATTTGGGGTCGATCAACCATTTCATGGGGGTCACCAAGCAAGGCTGTCTGCCATTTTTTTGTCGGCCATTTTTTTTGTCCGCCATTTTTTTCCCCTTTTCCAGCGGGTGCCTTACCTCCCTTGGGCTGGGCCAGCTGGTGGTCAGCCTGCTCCCTCTCTGCCGCTTGCCAGCTACGCCTCAGCCAGCGCAGGGGGCGGAACCACGCATGCACGGCGCTCCCGGGCAGGGAAAGTCCTCGACTTACGACCAGTTTAGTCCTCAACTTACGACCAGTTTAGTCCTCGACTTACGACCGGTTGGGGTCGCGGCATTAAAAAGGTTGAGAACCACTGTTCTAGATAATATACTCAATTTGGAAGGAGACCTTAGAGGCAAACTACACAACTGTGATCTATCTATTTTAGCTTTGTAACCTTTGGGTTTTAAAAGAGAATTGCTAATGGATATTGATTTACAGAGAGAGAATGCTAAGGGCTATTTTTGCTTTGAGAAGGGACAGCTACAGAAAGCTTTCACCTAAGCGAGTATATGTAACCCTGATATGGCAAAGCATCATAAGAGACCTTAGCTCTTGTTAGACTCTGCTTTCAGTCTTAACTGGAATGAATATAACTGATGTATAGAGAGGTTTGTAGAGAGGTTTTCCCTTGTAATTCAGTCACCATTATATAACTCTAAGTAAGGCTCCAGGTAGGTTACATATATGTTGTAACTTGTTCTCTGTGTAGCTTTTAATGACGTCATTTTTAAAGTTGCCAATTTAATCTCATTTTTAAATTATTTTATGATTTCTCCCTGGAATCTGTTCATTGCTATCATAAATTAACCATTGTTATAAATTGATTGTGAGCTAGAAGATGTATTCCTTGGCAGTTTTTGTGTTCTGGCCATGTCGATATATTGATTTTATGTAAAATTTAAAGCTTAATTTCAAAAATATTTTAGAATGAATCTGTATCCTTTTAAACTAGTTACATTAAAACTACCGTACATTAAAGTAGTTTTGAACAGTGTGCCTTTGACCTGAAAGGGGAAATGTTCAGTAATATGGGCAAAATTATATGTGTGAAGCTGTTACCCTCTAAAGCACAGTTAATTAATTTTCCCAAGGAGCCACGTGAGACAATTAATCTAAGAGGCCACATGAGAAACCAAGACTGTTTGGAAGGCCAAAGCAGGAGTAGGGCTGTGAAGGTACGTAGGCATGCATACACGCAAATACATTTAAAAAAAAAAAAAAAAAAAGCAGTCACTTTCAAAATAAAAGCAATGTACACAAGCCACACAGGGACAACCAAAGGGCCAGATGTGGCCTGGAGGCTGTAAAATGCCCAGGTCTGTTCTAAAGCTTTTATCTCTCTTTCTGGATCTCTTGGAAGCATCAAGCTGACCACCACTGGTCATTTATTCATGCATTTAATTAGGGAGTGAAGATCCAGCTCCTTCCAATTTTTCCTTTTTGCATTTTTTTTCTTTTGTCCTTTCCTCTGGCCAATTGAGCGTATCCTGAAGGCATTTCACATGATGAGCTGGCATCCAGTCTAAAAAAGCGTGAATGGACCAAGTCTTACAATGAAAAGGAAGATTTATGGTGGCTGATAGAGACTGGACTCTCATTTACATGCATACAAGACTATCCTGAATACTATTATGGGAATCATGTGTGAACTGATGACCACTGATTAATTACAGTACCTTCCTTGATGGCTGATTTCCTTGCCATTCCTTTCTCTGGCAGCGTGCAAGGTCAGGTCCGTTGAATATCTATCAATGTCATCAGGGTGTATGTTGGTCAGTGGGAGGGCCCCTCTATAGATGAAGTGATGTTAACGCCCCGACTCATAGATCTTGTTACTGGGCCCAGCCGGCCAATCAACTCTATAGTTGTGGCTTCTGTAG